GAATGCAGCCTCATTTTATGCCCTCCACCCCGCTAACACAACCTCCCTTTGCCCTCTTAATTCCCTGCTCTTCCCATTTCACAGACAAGGAAACTGAGGCAGAGAGGGGTTGTTTGTCCAGGTCCAACAGCTAGTACTTAATAGAGCTGAGACCATCTCCTTGGTCTTCGGACACTCAGGTTGTTCTTTCCATTATCCATGAAGGCTACACAGATGCAACTCCTTATGGTAATGCATTATTATTCCTTAGTCTCCTAAAAGGGGCCCCTGTTAAAACATTGCCAAGTAGTGGTAGCAACAGGGTCATTCTCCCACCTTAAGGTGATCTGCTAATAATGTCCCCTCTTTCCCCCAAGGTCCTCTCCTCTCTGGCCCCTCCCCCTCCCCCACGTCCCATTCGCACCACCTGCCTTGGCTACTTTTCCCTAGAGATGTCCCATGCCCTCCACGCCTATCAGGGTCCCCAGGAGGAGTCACCTTGGGGGTTCTCACCTCTGATACATCTGTCAAAGTAAGAGAAATGGGGAGATAAGGAGAAAGGGGAAGGTGTGGGGCCAGCAGTGTCTCCTCTCTCTGTCCCTGGAAGAGGGGCGATTTCCGGCTCCTACAACCAGCAGGCCCCAGAGGAGGCGTCTTTTACATACACTTTGTGGGATGACTTAAGTAAGTCTTGACGACTCGCTCCCTGGAGACTAGACTAAAAGTATTGTTTAGAAATCTAATATATGGTTTATTTACTCAATTTGTGCTGAGCTCCACAGTTCCTTCAGGCCTGCCTCCCTCGCCCATTACTCTATTAATGCTCCATTACTGAAATTAGTGCTGTAATTGGAGGGGGAAGGGCTGAGGGAGGGGGCACTCCTTAAAGGCACAGGTCTCCTTTAATCACATCATGGGCAGAGGCCCAGAACTGGTGTGGGGGCCACAGGAAGGTTTGAGCCAGAGGGACACCTTAGCAGCAAGGTGACAGGAAGGGGACATGGGCCGATGGCACTGGCAATTAGCATGTGGCCTGAGTAGGGGCAGGAGGGATCAAGGCCACGGCCCCTCCTGCAGCTCTGTGGGCTTTGATGCTTTCAGCCCATTTAACCCTTCACACTAGGGATTCCAAATGCATCGGCTCAGCCCCCAGGTCCACCTCTGACCCCTCGTTCTTTTTTTCTTTTCTTTCTTTTTTGTTTTTAATCTCCTCACCGGAAGATATTTTTCCATTGCTTTCTAGAGAGAGTGGTAGAAAGAGGGAAAGACAGAAAGAAACATTACTGTGAGAGAGGCACATTGATTGGTTGCCTCCTGCACGAGCCCTCACCAGGGCCTGGCCTGGGGAGGAGCTTGCAACCAAGTACGTGCCCTTGACCAGAATTGAACCTGGGACCCATTAATATGAGAGAGACATATCAATTGGTTGATATGTCTTCTGCACTTGCCCTGTCTGGGGATGGAACCTGTAACTCAGGTATGTGCCCTTGACAGGAAATCAACCTGTGACCCTTCAGTGTGAGGGCCAGTGCTCGAACCACTGACCCACCCGCCAGGGCATGACCCCTCCTTCTTAGCAGGTGATGTCAAGGCCGTTTTCCTGGAGCTTCCTTCACTGCCCTCCTCTGTCCTGCAATGTGCCCGTGTATTCTCGCTCCTTCCTCCTCCTGGCCTAGACTGAGCCCTCCACCCACCTCCCACTCACACACCCTGGACCTTCAGCCTGGGCCTTGCCCACTCCCTCTAAGACCCTCCAGAAATGCCTGCTCTTGCTCCCTGTTGCCCATGGTTTCTTCTCCTCCACTGTCTTCCCCGGGTTAGACAGAGTCGGCTACCCCTCAGCATCTGGCCCAGCTCTCCCTCTCATGAATGAGTTTCTTGGGAGGGTGCCACACTGCAGCCCTCTCAAGCCTCACTGCCCACTCATTCCTCAGCAACCCGAGGTCTGAGCCGCACCCTCTCCCGTCGCCTGAGACGGCTTTGTTCACGGTCACCGGCTGGCCAACCAAAGGCCCTTGTCAGTTCTTACCCTCCACGGGCATCGGTGCAGCACTGGCAACTACCACGCACCTGCTTTCTGGAACCAGTTTTCCCTTGGGCACCTGGGAATGACGTTGTCTATAAATTCTTCTCTTCTTTCCGCCAGAACATCTCTTCCCACAGCTGTGATTCTTAACATTTTTGTAAGTCACGGGACCCTTTGACAATCTAGTAAACACGCATGCGCGCACGCACACACGCACGCACACACACACACACACACGCACACATATGCACACACGCACGCACGCACACACACTCATGGATCCCATCTGTAAACTTCAGGTTAACAACCTCTGCTTTTTACTTTCTTTCTTGATGATCTTGACAATTCCTATTTTTTAAATCATATTTTCAGGCAGTTCCCAAATCTAATCATCCAGTGTCGATCTCTAATTCTGTGTTTTTAGCAGATGAACATCCTACAGGGACCCCCAACACATCTTCCCCTCCTACCTGGCTCTCCTCCTTTCTGTCTCTGCTTGTGGTCAGGCGACAGCTTGACAGAGATTCAGCCTGGGACACTTAGGGGTCATTAACCCTCTGGCTTCCTAACCCTCCCCAAGCCCATTAGACCTCGGTGCTCGTCATTCTTCCTCCACCATGTCCCTCACAACCGTTCCTTCCTCTCTGTCCCATTGGTACCACCTCTGTTTGACTCATCTTCTTAATGGTCCCTGCCTCCAGGCCAGGCTGCCCAATCTGTCCACCACTGTTACGAGACAGAGATTTAGGGAGAGTGGAGTCCCGGGGTCTTAGACATGGCAGGGGTCCTTTAGGGGCCCATCAGTCCAGCCCACTATCTTGTCTTCACGAGGCCTCTGAGAGCGGCTGTCCAGCATCTGCCTGAAGATCCCTGAGGAAGAGACACTGACCTCACCACTAATTAGGTCATTTAACTTTGTGTCAATTCTAGTTATGGAAGGCTTCATCCTTACATCAACTAAAATCTGCCTCAGTCATGTCACTCCTCACTCTTCGGTGCTTCTCTTTGCCTACAGAAATTCCCAACTCCTTATCTCAGCACATTAGGCCCTTCGCAATAGGCCTGTATCTCCCTAGCAACAGAGATTCGCTGGATAGTGGCCTGCACTGCTAGTGACTACATTTCCCAGCCTTCCCTGCAGCTCGCTGTGGCCCATGACTAAATTCTTGCGAACTGACAGCAGAAATGAAGTGTGCTGGGGCCACTTCCAGGTGTGGCATTCGAACGTCCAGCACGCATTTCCGCAGGTCCTCATCCTCTTCCTGAGGCTGGAATATGGACAGTCCCTGGATCCTGCACACAAGACCAACACCTGGGGGATGACAGGCCCTCAGAGGCAAGGACCCTGGTCCCTGAAGGACCCCCCAGAGCCTGACCCCCCTGACCATCCGGACCACTCCCCTCAGGACTGTCACCTGAGAGTGAAGCAAGCTTTTACACTCATTAGCCTTGACTTTCTCATCACTTCCCCCTCAAAGTCTATACCAACCCCACTGAACTTCTCACCATGTCCAAGGACACACGCCTTTCTGCACCTCAGGTCCATGGTTCCAGCCCATGCCTCTGCCAGGAAGGCTTTCCCCCATTTCCTCCACCTGATGAACTCCACTTGTCCTTCAAGACCCAGCTCCATGTCGCTCCCTCTGTGCAGCCTTCCTCCCCAAGGGTTTAGTAGCACATCTCTTGTTATAGCCCTTTCCTCATTTTAACATCTAGGAATGCTTTGGGCTGCTAGGAGCAAAAATAAATTCAACTAACTGTGGCTTAACCTGCAGGAGGTTTATTTCCTTAAAGGAAATAGGTGACAGATGATCCCAGGTTTGCCTTGGTGGCTCCATGACACCACCAGGGACCCAAGCACCAATGTCTCTACTTTGCCACCCACAGGTATTGACTATAGCTCTCCTCTGAGTCATGACATGGCTCCTCCAATTTGAAGCCTCATATAATCACACAACAACATCCCAAGAAAGAAGAATAAAGTGGAAACAAAGGCATAACCTGGCAATACCTTCCATCAGGGAGAAACGGCCCTTTGTAGAGGTTGAGAGACTTCTCCAGAAGTCTTACTGGCCAAAACGGAGTCACATATATGTCCCTAGGGCGGATCCCTCGAAAAAAGGGCATCAGACTCCCAGTGACTCATTCAGACGCATCCTAACTGGTCCACCATGGAAGAGCCGGCTAAATGGGGATGAAATTGAAGTTCTATGAGCCAGAAAGAAGGTAGAATGGCCATTTGTCAAGCATATAGGCAACTATTGATGGCAGGACATGGCATTATAATGTATCTGTTTATTTGTCTAGACTGGGAGTTTCTTAAAGGAACTCATAAAATTGTCTCACACAATAAAGTTGAAGTTAAAAGATGTTTTCAGAGGATAAATGAGAAAGCCCGCATTCCTGATTCTTTTCCTCATCTCCCAGGTGCTTGGCGTTCTTGTGAGAGCAAAACGTGGACTTGGGGGCCTCCGTGCAGAAAAGGGAAACTGGGAGACGCGCTGTCACCTCGTCTTCATGTGCAACTGAAACAGCACTAACACGGCCATTCCCAAGAAGCCTAGGTGTGCGGGCGAAGCACTAATAGCATCTCACGCTCTAGCCATTATTGCTGCCGCAGAAGCTGGAGGCAGAAGTGCTAAAACAGGCCTGGAAGGCTGGTCTCAGGGCACTGCTGGCCAAGGCGACATTGGAAAGATGAGAAATCCCACAAGGTGGTTCTTGTAAAGCTGAAGGCTGGGTCTTGGGCCAACCCGGGTTTATGGCGAAGGGGCTGTCCTTCAGGGTGTTCTCCGCATGGGGGAGAGCAGCGGGGTCACACTCTCCCTGGGCAGAGTGACATCTTCCACGCCAGGGAGAGGCCTCTGAGAATGAGTTTCCGGACACGGCAGCTCTGCGTGGTCCGTGCTGTTCCCTGGTGGGAGCGCAGCACGTAGGAAGGTGGGGGCAGTCGTGAGGACAGGATGAGACCAGGTGTGTTGAAAGTGAGACATAGATGAGATCTGCAGCATGAGTCCCTGGCCCAGCGCTTGCCCCACTGATGTCAATACATGTTTATTGATAAATTGCTAGATAACCAAACAGTCCTTAATATTCTAGTTCTGGGAATCAAGATAGTGACTAGGCAGTCCACTATAAATTGAGTGCGGATGTTTGTTCTTGATCAGGATAGTGATCCAGGTGCAAGATGAAAGTTGTAGAACATCCTATACCCCTCTATCACAGGAATCACCGGCCGACGGATAGAACTGCAAAATACCAGAGGTACAACGAAGAGGTCAATGAACCAAGAAAGTGTTCAAATGGAAAGTAGAGCCCCCTATTGTCTGTGTCCGTGGGTTACGCATATGTGCATAAAAGGTCTTTGACTGATCTCTTCCCACCCACCTCACACCCTCACTTTTCGATATTCCTTGGCTTCTATTAGCCTAAGAACTCATCAGCTTTCGTTAAGGATCAAACAAGCAACCGTGTGCATAATGGGGACAGCGGGAGTGGGGGCATAAACAGGGGGCTCTGAGACTTCCTTTAAAGGGGCCGCTGAGCAAACACCAAGCCCTGGCACATGCAGGGTCTCACTGCCCTCCCCTTTTCCCGTCCCGACGAGGCCATCACATGTCCCTGCCCGGCTCAGGGCTGAAGCACACCCTGGCTGGGACGCAGCTGGCACCAGCCCAGGCACGAATGCGCGCCTCACCCTCTGGGTCCCACTTCTTGGAGGTCACCCGGGCCGTGTTGTCACCTTGAAACACTGGAGAGAGCTGTGAGCTTCAGAAGGTGAGACGTGCGGGCCGGGGCTGGGGGCAGGGAAGGCCAGCCTGGAGGGTGGCTGGAGAGCTTTTGACAGCCCAGACCAGAGCCCAGGGCCCTATTCCTGCCGACGTGAGCCCCCAGGCAGGCGCCGAGTGGATAAGAGCGTAGACAGTGAGGCCAGCGTGAGGCTTGCCAGCACCTGCAGATAGCAGGCCAAGAATTGGCACATGTTTAAAAAAAAATTAAAAAGCTATTGGATGTGAGTATTTTCTAACAGTGTCTGGCGGGAGTGCCCGGGAGGAATTTAATCAGCAAGAGTTGTTTAAACGGGCTTCTCACAGAGGCCCTGGCCGGGCTGGTAATGAACTCGTATCATGTGCCACTCCTGTCTGCTGAGGACATTCAATTTGTTAATTCTGCAGCTGGTGAGAGAGGTCAGATAGGAAAGTGACGATTGTTTTCTAACGTTCCATAACGTTCCAACCCCTGCTCACATCTTTCTAATTAATCCTTTTAGGAGCCTCGGGTAGATTAAGAAGGAGGAAAGGTGAGGGAAGCAAGTGGGAGAGAAATTGATGGAAAGACAGAGCTGTCTTTCTCTTCTCAAATGGGAGGGGTGGGGGGAAGCAGGAGCAGAGAAGGCCAAGCTTGGCCGGCTGCCCACTGCTCTCCTCACTCCAAGGGAAATGGGATGCTGCAGGAAGTTGCAACCCACAAGGGCCTTCGGACACCCTCCCTGGTGACTGTTTTAAATGAGGGCCCTCGGTCTCCATCTTTCAGTTTGGGACCGACTCCGCCACTAGGAGGAGCTGTGGAGGTGTGGGCAGAGGGGACGCCCTGCAGGGTGGGACTGTGACCTCCAGTTAAAGGCCCAAGGTCATAGGGATTTGTAAGAATGTTCACTGCTGCATTATTCACTATAGCCAAGACATGGGAAAACTCAAGGGTCCCTCGATGGGGGGCTGGATAAAGGTGTGGCACACGCAGGCAATGGGACCTACTCAGCCATATAAGAGACAAAAGACTGCCATCTGCGACGACGCGGGTGGATCTTGAGAGAATCCAGCTAAACGAAGTAGTCAGATGGAAAGAGTCAAGAACCATATGATTCCGCTTCTACGTGGGATAGAAAACAGAGAGCAAAACATGAACAAACAAGACAAACAAAAGCTCCGAAACACAGACAACAGTGTGGTGGTTACCAGAGGGAAAGGGGGTGGGAGAGGATGAAGAGGAAAAAGGGGGTCAGCCATAGGGGGACAGAAGGAGATCTGACTTGGAGTGGTGAACACACCACCAGTACACAGATGATGGATTAGAGAATTGTACGCCTGAAACCTATATAATCCTATTAACCAATGTCACCCCAATAAATTTAATTTTTTTTCAAGACTGTCCCCTGGGTGCCAGGGGCCTGGTTGGCACATGGCCCATTGTCCCTGCCCACCTGTGTGAGATGCTTCTGTTGGGCATATGTCTTGTTTGCCCTTCCAGGCCCACTTCCTCCTGCTCCACCTACCCTCTGCCCTGGAGGCGGACTCCCGTGGACCCCAGGCCTGGCTGACAGGAGCCCCTGTCAGAGAGGGACTGCAGGAGGTTGCCTGGGGCTGGCTGAGCCCCAGAGAGGGAGGCCTGGGCCTCACAACAACCCCTCCTTTCGGGTGTCTGTGCCTCTCTCCCCTGCCCACCGCTGTGTGCTCCCAGCCTATACCCAGCCACAGCTCTGTGATTAATGTCTTTGTAAATAAACACCCACCTATTATCTCAATGGAGGGCCTGTTCCTGCTGGGACGTTGACACGGGCGCCTGATGGATAAGGCAGCCCAGAGTTTGCATCCGACCCCGTTCTCATGTGAGAACATGAGAAAGTTACTTAACCTCTCTGAGCCCGGGCTACACATCTGTAAAAAGGGGGCAATGGTACCAACCCACAGCGCCGTGAAATAACCTGAACCCAACACCTAGTGGTGGCTTTGTTAGTGCCCGTTTCTTTGCTTAAAAGTCTCAAGGTTAGGAGAACCACAAAAATCAGTAAAGGGCATGACATAAAAGAATACACGGAACACAAATAGTTATCAAACCCAAGATGGTCACATACTTTTCCAGCCGGTGTGACTCCAGCCAGGTGGCGCTCTCTGATACGGGATTCTTCCTCTGTGTGGTCGCAGGAGGGCTTGGATCAGAGCTGGCCATGGGCAGCCGGCACTGGGCGTGAGGCATGGCTGTCCTCTCCACCTCCCCGGGCTCCTCGAATCCTCCAGGGCTTCGCTCATGCCTGACATTCATTCCACACACCTTTGCCTGCTCCCTTCTGTGCCGGGCACTGTGCTAGGTCCTGGGGAATAAGAGATGAATCAGACCCAGCACAAGACCTCTCTCAGGATGCTTACCACCAACTGGGGAGACGGGTCCCTACTTTTGATCAAATACCACCAAGCACACATGGAAGTGTGTGTGTGTGTGTGTGTGTGTGTGTGTGTGTCTGTGTGTTAGGGGAGGAGGATCTGGGAAGACTCCTCTCTGACCTTGAAAGATGAGCCTCCCAGAGAATATAGAAGAGCTTGCAGGCTGAGGGAACAGCATGTGCAAAGGCGTGGAGGCAGGAGAGCATGCAGGGGGATCTGCCAACAATCCCAGTGGCTGGAGCAGGGGGTCGGAAGTGCTGAGGACAGCGGCTCCACTGGAAATGAAGACTGGCTCAGAAGCAGGGAGGACCTGGAAGCCGCCCTGAGAAATGTGGTTTTGATTTAGGAAGCAAAGGAGAAGTAGGAAAATCCTTCATTCTGAGCGTTTTGCAAAGAAAACTCTGGTATGAATTTCACATGCATTGTTTATAATCAACTACCTTCTGACAGCATTCTGCTGGGTTGGTCACCTCTGAGATGTCCCCTTCCTGGCTGCCACCCAGGATGGTGCCCTGTCCCAGAGAGTCACACAAAACCAACCCCCAGGGAGCCCCAAGAGGCCACCCCTGAGGTCTGCCCATCTCCCAGGACTGCCATGAAGTAGGAGTGGATCCCACATCTTTCAGCAACTCACTGACCTGAGACCACTCCCCAGGCTAGGAGTCAACTTTCTCTTGTCCTCTTTTGACCCTTCCTCTCCCCGTCTCCCTCCTCCTGCACACACACAGCCTGTTTACAGAATACAGGAGGAACCACAGACTTCCAGCAGTTTGGGTTTGTGACTCTCCTGCAAAATTCCCCGAGGCAGGGAAATGCTGGGGGTCTGAGGACTATCTTAAAATGTGGGGAAATCAGAGAGAGCAAATACAACGAAGATGCCCAGGAAGTAGCCCGCTGTGCCCAAGGCAAAGGCCTTGGGTAATCGCCACCATGCACAAGGAGAAGGCCTTGGGTACTCACTACTAAGTAGGACACACCACCTTCTGAGGCCATGTCTGCTGAAGTAATTATCCGCATCATTTCGTCACCCAAGGGCTTTTAGCAAAAGCATCCAGCTAACAGAAACTATCAAAATTTTTCACAAATTTATAAGAATCACTGCACTAGACAGTGGACTTCTTCAGGGCAGCACTGTTAACTGTGTGGTCTTAAAGTTAAGAGTTTGCTTTTCATCTCTGAGTTCTAGAACCTTGAGCACATTATTTTAATCCCTTGAGCCCATTTGCTCATCCATAAAATAGGGCTCACCTTCTAGCATTGTGAGGACAACAGTCCATCACGGGGCCAGGCAAAGAGTAGGCATTAAATAAATGCCGACTGGAAGGGTGGATGGATGGAAGGACATGTGGACAGGCAAACAGATGGACATCTCAGCCCTTTGAGCTAATCTGCTTGTGTAGTACCCATGTCAAATGCCTCAAAGCATTGTTTAAATACATATTTTCAATCACGACACCACGTGCGAACTTTGCACCTTGAGATAGCATCTAAGCATTCTGTGAGGTCTTGGTCAAGTGTACCTTCTAAACGAGGGTCTAAACTGGGGTCTCTGTCTTGCCTGTGCAGATTGTTGCACTTGAAAAGAAATACGGTGGAGAGAGAGGAGGTGGGGTCAATTAGGTCCTTATCGGGTGTAAGGACAGCATATTCTTCCATTCATTAGCACCCACTTATGCCTGCCAAGAGAATGCCAACCAGCGGCCATTTGCCTGGGGCATGAACAGGTGACCGAGCGGAGAGAAGGTTGAGTGAAGCAGGAGAGAGGACCCAGGAAGAACAGGCAGGCCTGCCGACCCTGTGCACAGGGGAACTGGAAAAGCCAGTTCAGGTCCAGGCAAGGCACGTGCTCAGAAAACATTCATGAACATTTGGAGCACCCGCCTTAGGTTGATTGCCAGACTCAAGTACGTCCAGCTTGTCAGTAGAGAGAGCCATCTGAAAGCACTGGGAGAGGTGACTATTTTCCAAATGTCCAGTCTTCAACTAAAAATAAAATAAAACGTACAAAGAAACAGAAAAACATGGTCCATTGAAAAAAACAAAATGTATCTCCAGGATTCATCCCTTAGGAAACACAGGCACCTGACTTAATGAACAAAAGCATTTTTAAAATTTGCCTTTTAGTATGCTCCAAAAAGCTAAAGGAAAACAGAAAGGACCAGAGGAAATCAGGGGGGAAAAAATGATACACGAATAAAATGTAAAAATCAATACCAGAAGGAAAACTGGGAAATTCAAAAATATGTGAAAATTCAAAATAGACCCCCAAACAACCAATGGATGAAAAAAGAAATCACAGGTGAAATTAGAAAATAGAGACAAATGAAAATAAAAACACAACAATCTGAAACTGATGGAATGCAGCAAAAGCAGTGCCCAGAGGGAAATTTATAACTGAAACATTTACATCAAAAAAGACCTCAAATCAACAATCTCACCTTACAACATAAGAAACTAACTAACCCCAAAAAAAGAACAAACTAAGTGAAAAGCTAGCAGAAGAAAAAGAATAGTAAAAATTGGAGCCATGATAAATAAAATAGAGAATAGAAAAGCAATAGAGAAAATCAGCAAAACCAAAAGTTGGCTCTTTGAAAAGATCAATAAAATTGACCAAGCATTTAGCTACATTGGCTGAGAAAAAAAGAGAGAAGGTTCAAATTACTAAAATCAGAAATGAAAGAGGGGTAAATCCTACCAATTTTAGAGAAAAGGAACGAGGAATAAAATATGAACAATAGTATGCCAACAAATTGGATAACCCAAATGAAATGGACAAATTCCCAGAAACAAAAAACGTACCAAGAATGAACCATGAAGAAAAGCAGCATTCGTAATCCCACCACTCATTATCACTCTGATGTCCACCGAACCAGGCAGATGTATGAATGGACAGATAGGAGTAAAGATGGAATCCTGTGCACTGAACTGCTTTTTCTCCTACCTCAATCAGCAAAATATTTTGAAACTCTCCTGATTACCATTTGCTCCCCAGAACTGCACACTCCAACATGGTAGCCACTTGTCCCAATGTAGCTATTGACATCTTCATTTAAATTAATAAGGTTAGTCCAGCCTGCGTAGCTCAGTGGTTGAGCATCAACCTATGAACCAGGAGGTTATGGTTCAATTCCCGGTCAGAGCACATGCCCAGGTTGCAGGCTCGATCCCCAGTAGGGAGCGTGCAGGAGGCAGCCAATCGATGATTCTCATCATTGATGTTTCTATCTCTCTCTTCCTCTCCTTTCCTCTCTGAAATCAATAAAAATATTTTTTAATTAATAAACTTAAATAAAATAAACATTTAGTTCCTCAGTATAGTACCTTTCTATTGTTACTGTTCAAATAACCACAAACTTAGTGGCTTAAAGTCACACAAGTTTATTATCTCAGTTCTGGGGACAGAAACTTGGAATGGGTGTCACTGGGCTACACTCCAGGTCTGGGCAGGGCTGCAGCCCTTGTGGGAGCTCTAGGGGAGAATCCATTCCTTGACTTTTCCAGTATATAGAGGTCACCTCCATTCCTTGGCTCTGACTCCTCTGGCTTTTTTTTTCCCAATATATTTTTATTGATTTCAGAGAGGAAGGGAGAGGGAGAGAGAGATAGAAACATCAACGATGAGACTCATTGATCAGCTGCCTCCTGCACGCCCCCCATTGGGGATCGAGCCCGCAACCCGGGCATGTGCCCTTGACTGGAATCGAACCTGGGACCCTTCAGTCTGTAGGCCGACGCTCTATCCACTGAGTCAAACCAGCGAGGGCCTCTGGCTCCTTTTCGTAAGGACCCATCCAGATACCAAAAGACCCCTAACTTAATCATGTTTATAAATCCCTTTGCCATGCACTGAAGCACAGCCCTAGGTTCCAGGGATGAGGATGTGGACGTCTTTGGGGGTGGCGGAGTCATTGTGGGGGCAGACGCTGCCTAGCACACTCTCAAGTTCTCGGTCGCCACGCACACTGGACAGCCAGGTTTTAGAACGTTTCCATCACGCGGAAAGGTCTCCAGCATCTCTGACAAGTTACTGGTTTTCTGTGCCTAGTGGCCCCCTCCGGGAGCAGGACCCGCCAGGCGGTTGTAAGATGACAGGAATTCACAACTGCGCCGAGCCGGAGGCAGGCCGCGCAGCGTGCCAGGCACTGCTCCAAGCACTTCACATATTTTACTTTATTTAATCTCCACAACAACCCCATCAAGCAGATGAATAACGATGATCTCCATGTTCTCGATAAGGAAACTGACACACAGGAGGTCAAGTGCCTTGCACAAGATTACGCAGCGAACACGAGGCAGTGCGGGGACTTGGTTGAATCGCTGAACGGGCTACCCAGCTTGCTCAAGGTCAAACACGGAGTGTGCGCCAGTGGCAAGATGCAAACCCATGTTCTTCCACCTGAGGACGGGCAGAGAGACAGGCACTGAGGGCAGTGGAAGCTCTTATGTCTCCAGAAGAAAATAAAAACGGTGCCATTGAAAGGCACAGAGGCCCTCCCGGCCCCCATCTGGGCTGCAGCCCTTTGGGGCCCTGACAGTAATGTGGTGGCCAGCACCAAGGTCACAGGCTCTGCTGCCTGGAGTGGGGAGCAGAGCTCAGCTTCCTCCCCAGGATGACGGGGAACCATGAGGGGCAGCACTGAAGGGGGAAGGAGGAAGCAACCCCGCAGGCTTTAGGAGGAATACGGAGGATAAGAGGAGGACACCCGTGAATAGAGGCGCAGGGATGGAGCGGGGTTTCTGCACACATGTGCGTTTTCTAGAACTTTGAGGGCTTCTAGAATCTCTGTCTGCCCTCTTGGAGTTCTAGAGAGAGGAAGTCTGGGCAGTGATTGAAGGATGGGTAGAGGGACAAATAAATGGGTAGATCTGTGATAACCTAAGTATAATAAATATTCATGGCCGAATCTAGGGATGGGTATA